TGTTCTGCCCCGCTGACCCCCCCCTCCCCCCAGAGCACCGCTGATGGGTGGGAACCGGCCTAATCCTAGGGTCAGCACAGGCAGGCCACCATTGCCCGGGCATCGCTCCGCACTGGCCTTTATCAGAAAGAAAGGTACCATTTTCATTTCTGCCTGGCTTCCCTGAAACGGTCTGTAACTCGGGTGGGGAGAGCTGGGGTTACCGTGTGGTCTGTGCTCAGACCCAGAAGTGGGGGGGGGGTCCTACAAACCCACATCTGTGCAGCAGAGCCGGGGCCCGTCCGAAGGGCAGGGGGAGATGCGGCCCCCGTTACACCTCCACGGAGTGCCAGCCGAGAACAGGGGTCTGTGGGTATGCCTCCCGAGGGTGGGCGTGGCCCCACGCGGCCCCCGATTCCCCCAGACCACAGAGGCAGCTCTGGGAACGCTGCGTCCTCAGACCTCTCCTAGCTGGACTCCCAACGTTGGAGGCACCATTCCGGCAACAGACGGCACCTGTGCTGGCTGACCTGTGCGTGGGCAGCCCCGGGGCAGGCGGGCAGCCTGACTCTCCAATCCACACTCAGAGACGGGAGATCTGTGCCCCTTCCCTTCCCTCCCCGCAGCCCCGGGCCCAGACCTACGCTCGGCTCGTCAGCACCTGCCTTGCTCCTCCAAAGGCAGGATGGAGACACGCGGCCCTCCCTCCACACCGCCGAGCTCTCTGCCTGTCCTCACACTGCGTGCCCCCCGCTCGTGGTCACCCCGGCTGCCAGCTCGGGGCCTGCTGCCCGCCTCCTCCACGTGGCCTGCTCAGGACCCACAGCGGGCCAAGGTTGGTGGGCACGCTCTCCTGGCCCTTGGGGCCGCCCTGTCTGCCTGCCCCCCAGGCTTGGAGGAAGAGGTCGGATAAAGTGTCTGTGCCGGCCGGCCGCACTCACCGCGGGGCCTGGCGGGCCAGGGGGGCCTTCGCTGCCTTTCAGTCCAAGTGCGCCCTGCAAAGCAACGAGAACACGTTCAGGACACCGCGGGGAGAGGGCCCCGGGCTGGGCGGCGTCCAGCTCCATCACCCCGCCCGGCCCCTCACTCACCACTGGACCGGGAAGCCCCCGATCCCCAGGGAAACCACGCAGTCCAGGAGGGCCGTCTTTCCCAGGGAGGCCGGCGGGACCTGGGTCACCCTGAAATCAGAGCCACAGATGAGCTTCTGAGCGATGCCCGGGACCAGGGTGGCCGGGGAGGTGGGGCGAGGCTTCCTCTCCCAGATCCACCAGACTCAAGCCAGAGTGGGGCAGCCCCAGGCACTGGCTCCAGAAGGAGCCTCTGAGTGGCGGCTTGATGTGCTCCGGGGCAGCTCAGTGCACAGGAGCGTGACCGGTGCTCGCGCCTGGTAGGCACTTTCCGTGGGCTGGCTCTGCGTGTGGTTTGGGGACAGACTCCACCCCTCTGGGCTCAGGGTGGGTTGAACAGGAGCCGAGGGCCCCCACGACTACCCTTTCCATACACTTGGGGCCCCTCGTAAAACTGCTCAGGTAAAGAAGCCTGTGGCCAGACCACTGGCCACATCACCCAAAACAGACCCATCACCCGAGACACTTGTTCCCAGCCTGAAACCACGTTTCCTGAAAAGATAAACCAGCTGAGCGTTTTCCCTGAAGCACATGAAAGCTTTGATAAATCTTCCAGAACTTTCTCCAGGGCCCGGCATGGGAGCAGAGGGCATCTCCGACCAGCACGCCCTTGACCTTTCCAAACTCGGACAGCTCTCTCGGTGAGGGGATATGTGCCCGCCCACATCTACGCGTGTCTACATACGTCACACAGTCACACACACGTGTACGCGTCCTTAAGCACACACACGTGGATCCCAGCACAGACACGTGTAATTCTTCCAACAACGCTTTACTGGCTCCCCTTCCTTATTCGCGGGTTTACTCTTGCGCCTGTGCTCGCGTGCACGGCTGGGTTTGCTGCGTCCCTCCCTGAAAAGCTGCGAGGGGAGAAGCTTGCCACTTTCAAGCCGATACCCAGGAATTACGACCACTAACCAGGGGCGCGCCCCGGCTGCGCGGGGAGGCTTCCTGGGGAACAAAGACGGGATGCAGGACCCACGCTAAGAGGCAGGCTAGAAACACGTCCACTTTCTGTTTTCGTTATTTATCCTTTAGCCTCTTGTGGTGGGAAACTTTTTAACGGGTCACTTTCTGCTGAATCAGTTTCAGACACGAAACGTCAGGGTGGGTTATGCGCGTCTGGGAGTCGGAGTGGCAGCCGGGGGAGGGGAGGTCAGCCGGGCACGGCCCCGGGGCCGAAGGCCAAGGACGGTTTGACCCCCGGCCCCCGCTGCCATCCCCCTCTGCGGCAACACAGCCCAGATCCTCCTTCAGACCAGGCAAAAGTGGTCGTCTGGGGAGCCAGCTGGCACGAACAGCGCTGGTCTGAGACCCCCCACTGGTTCATCAGAAAACAGCCGGACAGAACAGAGATCCCTCCGCGAAGTCCGGGCCGGCAAGGGAGGCCCGACGAACTCACCTTCGTCCCTTCTTTCCCGGCAAGGCCGGGGAGCCCCTGCTCACCGGGGGGGCCTGGGGGCCCGGGGTGGCCACGCTCGCCCATTGGGCCCGTTTCTCCCGTGGGACCCTGTGGGGAGAGTCCACGTCAGCCCCGAGAGTTTTCGAGACACGCCAGGGAGCAACCTTGCCTTCCCAAGCTAAGGACAGCCCTGGGCACGGAGGCAGAGGGCCCGCTGTGTGCCCTCCAAACCCCACAGTGCTCTGCGAGTGTCCTCCCTCTGGTAAAAGTCCAGGAGGAAACGGACGGGGCGGACGGGGTGGTTGCGTGCCGTGAGGGTGGCCCGGTGGCCACGCGAGAGGTGGGTGGCGTGCCCACGTCCCCTGCGGTCCGCGGCCGCAGCGGGTCAGTGTCTTATTTCCCGCTGCATCAGGTGGGAACTCGCTGCTCAGTTTTGCTGCTCCAAGCCATCGGTCCTGGCTGCAGGCCACCGTGCAGCGACCCACGGGCCGCGGCGCTGGCCGGAGCCAGGAGGCCCAGGCTGCTGGGGGCTCGGGGGCAGGGAAGAGCGGGCCTGAGCCAGGCCCGGCCCCGGCTGCCCGCGAGCCAGCTCCGTTCCGCCAGCTTGCCTCGCGCTGATTGTTCAACAGACCGTCCCCCGTTCTCCCCATCTGGCTCCCTGTGCGCAGCTCATCTCTGAATGCTAACAAGCCGCGGGACTCGGGATTCTCCGTCAGCAGCACCTACGCCTTCCGAACCCTGGGGCACCTCCCTCCCGTGTGGGCGCCGCACAGATGGCCAACGAAAGCGGGGGACGCGGCTGCTTACCTGAGGGCCCACGACGCCCGGGGGCCCTGGGGGGCCGGTCTTGCCTTGGAAACCCTGCAGAGAGAGAGTCACCACGCCGAGATGGCCGAGCGGTTCTCATCAGAAGGCTCGCGCCCCGACCCCCGACTCCGACCCCCGACAGTGAATGTTCCCCACCGCACTTGCGAGGGCCCGTCTCCCCTCTTTCGTCTGTGCGTATATTTCGCGAACACAGTGAGGCCGCAGAGGTTAGCTTCGCTCGCTGCTTTTCGGCCACCGGGTTTTTGTGCCGGGAAACAGATTTTAAGGCCACCGATCCTGACACCGTCACTAAGCGTTCACTTTCCCGGTGGACTCGGCGCCATTGTTCAGCCTCCGGAAGCTCGACTCGGGAGCTACCTCTGGGCTGTTTCTCATCAGCGACTTTGGGAGATGGTCCCACGTGTGTCGCTAACGCCTCTGCCGAGTGACAGGTGACCTCACCCGCTCCTCGGCATTTGTGGGAACCGGGATGGCGGGGGGGGGGGGGGGGGGGGGGGGGGGGGGTCTTCGCCGCTTTCGTAACCCGGCAACTCGAACACGCGGTTAGCCGGGTTCAGGGGGTTCCTCGCCTCTGCCCGCACACGGCTCGTGTGCCACAGCCCCGCCTTCAGTTTGGATGGTGGCTCTGCTACGCGTCCTCCCTTCGAGGAGGCGGCTGCGGCTGCGAAGCAGGGACGCTTCGTTTCCAGGCGCATCTACAGAGCCCTGCACATGCCAACAAGATGCCCTCTGCAGGTGCCCTGAGACGCTGGCAGGAACGTGCAGATGTGACGCCCGGGAAGCTGTTAGTGGGAGCTCTAGAATCTGGAGGGGGGCGTCTTAAGCCACAGGGAGACCTGGGGGGCGAGCGGGCTGGCCCGCGTGGCTGATGGGCAAGGGCGGTTCCCTGCCTCGCTGCCGGGACGGCCGCCGGGCCAGCACCGGAGACTTCACGCTTAGCCGCTGGACCGTGCAGGGCCCACGGCGGATTCAGCGTCTCTGCAAATTCTCAGGGGGCTCTTCTCTTGAGGCCCAAGGGAAGCTGCATGCAGTGCACGGGAATGGCCGTATTTAAGTTTATTTATCTTGCGAGAGAGACGGCGTGTGCGTGTGCACGTGCGTGCGTGCGAGCGGAGAAAGGGCAGAAAGCAAGGGCGAGACAGAGAGAATCCCAAGCAGACTCCGCGATGTCAGCAGAGCCCCACATGGGGCTCAGACTCGGGAACGGTGAGATCCTGACCTGAGCCGAGATCAAGAATCAGATGTTTAACCGACTGAAGCCCCCAGCCGTCCCGGAAATGGCCATTTTTCAAGCAGAACCTTTGTAGGCAGCGTTTACAGGGTCAGAAACAAGGGGTGGTGGACAGGTCAAGGGCACCCTCACTTGGGGGGCCGTGGCACAAGTGCCAAGTGCAGGCAGGAGCCTGAGTATAAGGCAGGAAAGGCCCCTCTGTTTGCCCCGGGGTCAGGACCATCCCTGGCCGGTCTCGAGCCCCTGGCTGGGCCATGAGCTTTGGGCTCACGTTTAGAAGTGATGCCCTTTGCTGCCTCCGTTTTCTAAAGAACAAAGTCAACACCCGAGGGAAGACCTTTCTGGAAGGTTTGTCTGGACGCCCCGTGTCGGAGACATCTGTCCTGCCTGGGTCTGGAGACCGGGTGCCCCCGCGTCCACGAGGGCAGCCAGGCACGGCAAGGGTAGCTGGAAAGCCCCTACGTTACTTTCCCAGCAAAGACGAGCAGCTTAATTACTCCACCAGCCTCTGTCTGGGGTGAGGCAGAGGCAGAAAGGCACACGCTTGGCAAAACCTTCTATCTTGTCTCCTCAGAACAGCATTAGAGAAAAACAGGCAAAGCTCAAACGAAATGTTTTAATTTTTCTCTATAAACAAAAGAAGGAGGTGATGTGCATTCATCAGCCAGCATGCGCCCCGCAGCAGAACGCCGGGGAGGTACAATTAAAAGCACTTTGTCACAATGAACCAGGGAGACAAAGGGATGCTTTTAGCGCAGGCACGGAGAAGATGTTAACGGCGGCATTCAAAGCTTCGTGGGACGCGGGGTTTGCCGTGAGACCCTTGCAGAGGCCTGTGACTACAAAGAAAACTGGCCGCAGAGACAGAGGGGCCCTCTCGGCAGCCTGTGCCGTCTTTCTGGTGACCAGGAGGTCCCCACCCGTCCGAGCCTGGAGCCTCAAGGTCACAGGTGCGCCCACGGCCTCCCGCGGACACGCCCGCCGTGGGCGCGGTGGGCTGGCCTGCAGGGCCAGGAAGGGACCTTATTTCTGAAAGACGCTTTTTCTTCCCACTGAAAACGCCGGGTGCTTTAACCTCCGGCCAACAGCGACGCAGCCCGCACCGGGCTTCTCCAAAGGGAGGGGCGAGGTGGGCAGTGCACCCGGGACGGCAGAATCGCTCACCGATCACGAGCCTGGCTGAAAGCCCAAGTTATACCCGGGCGGGCCACCTGCCTCGTTGAAGGGGCCCCGCGTAGCCCCTGCCATCAGCCCCGGGGCCGGGAGGGCCCGCACAGACAAGGCGCAAGGCCGTGTCCCTTCTCTTACTATATCCCAGCGCGAAACAGCAGAAGGGCACGGGGTCTTTCCGGCTCGCTTTCTGGCCCGAATGCGCACACTTCGAGCGTGGCCGCACTCACGATTCCTCACTGAGGAACAGGAGGCTGGTCGCACACGGCTCAGCGTGCGGATGGCATTTTGTCTGCCATGATGGTTCTAAACGTGACCCTGGACCAAAGTTGCCGGGACACCTCGGGCACCGGCACCGGCCTTCTGCGCTCACAGAGCCGCCCCAGGCGCCGCTGGCCTGCACGGGGCCGTCCGCAGGCAGGCAGGCTCACCCTGAGTCAGCGGAAGACGGCCGACACCTCAGGGGCCTTCCCGAGGCTGGCCACTTTCTCCCGAGCCCACGGGGCCGAGGAGGCGTGCCCACGGGCAGGGCTGTGGGAGAGGCCGGGCCAGCCTGCGTCCCCGTGTCCCCGTGTCCCCCACGCTGCCAATACTCACGGTCTCTCCTCTCTGTCCAGGGTGTCCCGGGAGCCCGTCCTTGCCCGGAGGGCCCTGAAGGAAGAGGCAAAGGGAAGAAGTTCCATTCAGTTCTGAGAGGCGCGCACCTTTGGGACTTCACACCAAACCAGGGGACGAACACAGCCACCTCGCTTCAGAGAAAGCTCCTGCAAGAGTCACGGTGACCAAGTGCCACGTGGGGACCCAGCACCTGTGCGTCACCTCCCGAACCCGCACAGCCTTCCCGAGCGCCACACTTCCCCTCCCAGGGGAGAAACTGAGGCAGGGAGAGGTGCAGCCGTGGGACGCACAGGCAGCAGCACGGGGACCCGGGTCCGCCTTGTCCTGGCCGCTGACCCCCAGCATGTCCATCTGGCGACAGTGCCCACGGTCAGGCATCTTTCCTTCTGGGGTGTAACAGAGTGCGCTCTGCCTGTGCTGACTTGGACTGTGCCCCAAAATACGGGGAGGGAAGTGCTAGCCGCCCCGCACCTGCGAAGGTGACCTCGTTTGGAAACGGGGGCTTTGCAGACGTCACCGACGTGAGGTCACACTGCACTGGGGTGTTCCCAAAGTCAGTGGCTGGTGTCCTCACAGCAAGATGGGGGCGTGACGACCCAGGGACACCCCCAGAGGAGGCGCCACGTTAGGATGCAGGCAGAGACTGAGCGAAGGGCGTACAAGCCGTGGACGGCTGGCAACCGCGGGAAGCCGGGAGCGGTGCGGGGCGGGGGGGGGCGGTCTCTCCCAGAGGCCCCCGGGAAAAACCGGCCCCGCCAACCCCCCGATCTTGGCCTCTTGGCCTCCAGACTGCAAGACAGCACATTTCTGCTGTCTCAAGTGGCCGAGTCGGTGGTAATTTGCAACGGTGGCCGGGGACACTCATACTGGACCCAAATAGAAGATCGCGTCTGCCCAAATGAGAGAGAGGTCCGCGCTTCCAAAAAGCGGCTCTCTCCAGTTTCCCCGCCGACGCCCCTCCCACCGGCCCAGCAAGAAAAACATGTTACTTACAGGAGGGCCCTTGGGTCCAGGGAAACCGGTGGGTCCTTGGGGTCCGTTGGGTCCCTGTGGATAGAGAACGGCCAGCTGAGCACAGATGTCCTTTCCCCAGTGCGCGGGGGCCCAGGAGACCCCACCATGGTCCTCCTGAGTCCTTGGTTCTCTGAGCACAGTCTCTTTGTGCTCCCCCGGACCCTTTCTCCATTTATTCCAGCCCCCCGCCCCCCCCCAACGCAACAAAGGAGGTCAGTCCGGGGAGCTGAGGGGGCCAGCTTGGGGCCGAGGGCCGAGGGAGGGGGCCGCCCGCTTCGACGGGCAAGAGACCTCACTCCCGGCGAAGGCTACCACTGATCCGCTTTGGGATCCTAGGAAAACCCTCTCCTTCAGTAGGACTGGAGACACGCCTCCCTCTCCCCAGCCCACCCCGGGAAGAAACGGGGAGGGACATTTAAGGCAGGCTGCCTCCCCAGAGATGTTGGCAGAGGCCCGCATGTTCACGGTGCTCACCCGTTCACCCGGAGGGCCAGCGGGGCCATCGCCTCCAGAGTTGCCCTAGGAAGGAAGGGACACAGAAAAAACAGCTTCACTACGATCATCTTTATTATCACTGCCTGTGACAGCACACTGGCCCGTGACGTCACGGGACGTCAGTCACACACGGCACACGGGCACAGGCGCGGGTCACCAGGACTTCCGGGAAAGGGCAGAGGGCGCCAGCCGCCGATCCACGCTCCCAAAGGCCACCTGTCTTGTCATCAGACCCTGAGCTGCTATCCACGGGGCTGTGACATTTCCCCGAGAAGAGCCCCCTGCAGGGGGACAAAGGCCACGCTCCCACCAGGAAGTGTGTTGAAAAGTCACATGGCGATAGGACCCAGGCATCTGCCCCGGGGCCCCCACAAGCGGTGAAAACAGCTGTGCCGTGGTATCACTCGCTCGTGCAGGGGAGCGTTAATCCCTGTACGGGAACGTGGGACGCACCGGCACTCAGCGCGGGAGAATGTTCTGTACCCTGCCGGTGGGCACATCCCACTAGCCGGGGGGCCAGCTCTGCACCCCAGCCAGCAGAAGGCCCACGTCCCTTGGTGGGAGCGCACTTTGGAATGGCGTCCCGGCCGAACAGGGAGGGCCTGCTTGGCTGTCACACGTTTCCACGCTGAGAAAACGGGAGGAGGGGACGTGAGGGACAGGCTCGGGCTCTCCCTCTGAGGCAGGAGGAAGAAACGGGCCCTCCCCACCAGAACCGGATGGTGGGGTACCCGGATGGCTCAGCACTTGTGCAAAGCCCGGGGGCCCGGTCCCCTAAGGCCGCGGAGGTCCCAGTGTGGGGTGGCCCCCTTCCCGCCACGGCTCCGTTGGGGCCGAGGCACGTGATGCAACTCAACCTGACCTGTCCGAGGGCTGCTGGCCTGGCTCCTTCTTAAATACCCTCAAGCAAACTTCCTTTTTTTTCTCCCAACAAAAAGGCCACGGATCACCCACAGGTGCTCCACGTGTGGGTGGCGTGGCTGATGCCCCAGAAGTCACTGAAAACCTACCTTGGGGCCAGGCTTCCCAGTGATGCCCCGGGGGCCCCGTTCGCCCCTCGGACCCTGCACGGGCGGGAGAGAGGAAAGGTGAGCTCGAATCCTCCCAGCCCTGGACACCTCCCTCCCCCTCCCACCGAGCACGCCCCCTGCAATGTGCTCCCGCTTCTGGAAGCCCAGAGGGTGGTTACCGTCGGGCCTCGCTGCCCCCGTGGTCCTGGCTTCCCAGGTGTGCCCTAGAACCAGAGAAAGAAGCGGCTGGTCAGTCACTTGCCGGAGACCCCTGCCACGGCCTGGGTGGTGGCCCTCTCCTGGGTTACGGGGAGAGAGCTCGGAAACAGAAGCCGGGAAGGTCTGCTCTCCTTATCTGTGCTTCTCCAGGAGATTTTTCAGGCCAACGGGACTTCACTGCACATTCGATACACAGAGCTTTGTGTTTCCGCACAGGCCTGTAGAAATCCAATTTTCTCCCTGCAGTCTGATGGATGTTTACCGCCCTATCTGGTTTCCTTTCCGCAAGCATCAACACCCCCCCCCTTCCCCTCC